AGAACCCACTCTAAGAAGCATCAATGGCCCCTTTGTAAGGCAGCCTCCAGCATTGTTTACCAAGTCCCGCCTTCCCCACTTTAGTTGTTAAGTATTCCCCCTTTGGATCTGTGAAGAGAAAGTAATCTGTGCCATCAAGATAATCCATCTTGTACATGGTGCTTTCTGACCCTCACAAAATATATTATTAATCACAATAATAACTTTGAATTTGTGATTACCTGCGACCAACAGGCTCTTGGTTTGTGTCTTAAGATACAATGGCAGCAAATGTGTAAGTCAGACGATCCGAGTCTCACAGGGTAGCAAAGATTTCAGCCCACTTTTCAGGTCTTGCCTTTGAAATATAAAATCCTTTCATCAGATGTTTTGCTGAATAATATCAGACAGAAGCATTGCCTGTAGATGCAAAGATTTCTACTTCCCAGGCGCTTAAAGCCCAACGTAGTCCTGTGAATAGCCTAAGTGGCATTTTAAGGAGTGGATGTTTAGGTTTTGCAATTTGCCCTGAGTGGGTGAATGGATATGGTAGAAGCCCACTGTGCCTGGGCTGTCAAGAGGCCAGAGAAATGTGATTTAAAAGGAGGGGGACAGGGCACTAGAAATTTCTTGGGGGGGGTGGTGAAGCAAGCTTTTGTTTTTGAAAGTGTCCTTTAGGTTGTTGGTATTCAAATTTGAATGTGGTGGGTGCATAGAGTTAAATTTGCATTTGAGTAACAGGAACATTTAGCACTCTGGTTTATTCAAATTCATTTTTCTTATTTTTTTAAACTCTCAGAATTGAACAGTTCCTTTTTAACCTAAGTAAACTAATTTTTAGATATAAAAATAATTGTCCAATCAAATCCAATTAGAACCTCTTAGATAATTCCCACTGTGGCTTCCTTTCCCCTTGGAGAAACAATGCATCTTCCCTTTAAATAAATAATCTAGGCCCACCCACTTATAGCCCTTGATCAAGACCTTGTCCTCCCTTTTTTTTTATTAAAAAAAAAAAAAAAAGATTTTGCAACCCTCACTAGAGGTGCGGCAGTGTATGGTTCCTCTGGTGACACAGCAAGGTGCAACATGGGTTCTGGGAAGTGACTGGCCCCTCAGAGAGGACAGTGTGCAGCCTGATGCTCAGCTGGTGGATTATTTCATGAGCTCTGTCCACACCTCTATCTTCCAGCACCTGGTGCTTCAGGAAGGCAGGCCACCGGGCACTGGCTGGCTGTTGCTCTAAATGTTGAGGAGTCATTGAAATCAATAGCTTCAGCAGAATCATCCAGAATTTCTCAAAAGTAATCAAAGGTCGTGAATTAGCTGAATGCCGAGTTCTGATTTACCATTTCTTTTCTAATATATTTGTGGGGGGCTGGAGCAGAGAAGAACCCAGAAAGAGCTCTGCTTCTGAGTCAAGACTGCTGCTGCTTGCAGGTGCCAGCACCTCAAATACTCAGCGTTCTCCATTTGTCCCTAAAACCTGTGCCCAGGGTCCCACAGCTGTCCTGTAAATGCCCCCGTGGATTTCTATTCTGTATTTCTCCCAGGAAAGAAAACAGTCCTGTCGGCTCCCCTACACTGYGGAAGCCAGTGGCCTTTTTGACATTTTCCTGTCTTCCCTTCTGTTCTGCCATCCACTTGCAAAGAGCTGTTACTACCAGGCCAAAAGCTGTAACAATATTAAGATGTTTTCCTCAACCTTGTCCCCAGAAAGATACTCTGTTTCCAAAAGATTGTTCTCCCCTGGGCATTACATCATGAATTGATTCAGTTCTTGGAGTAAGAAATTGAACAAAATATAATAGATTACCTCCTGGGGAAACATACTTGGGTTGTTAAGTATTCCCCCCAGAAAACTGAGAAACTGCTTATATATTACTCCTTGGTCCACATTTAACCTTTCCCTTTATTGCAGCTGAGCAGGGAGCTTTTTTCCTGTAAAGGTTTGTTTTAGTGAGGGTCAGAACATTTTGGTGAGGAGTATAAGTACTCTTGGTGTCTGCCCTGCTGCACTTGCTCAGCTCCACGGGCAGAGTGTACCAGACCCTGCCACAGGTGAGACAGTGGCCAGCGAGGGTGTCCCCCCCGTCAGGAGCCTTGCAGCAGGCTGAGCGCAGGAAGCGGGCGCTGGCCGGAGGTGGACCTGGATGGGTTTAATTTTCCTCAGGGAGTGTTTGGCCCCTGGGGCATCGTGCCCAACAGAGAAGAAGGCAGCACTTGTGCAGCATTTGGAAGGCATCACCGTGGTCACGTGGAGTGCGACTGGCACGCAGCATCCAAGCCGGAGAAGAGGATCGGGTTTCCTCTTTCTTGGGAACCGGTTCTCGGAGAAGGATGTTAATGATTGATGAAATAACTCCCGTCCAATAAATAGTGCAGCAAGAAATGTGGGAGCTATTTTCCTTTCCAAGTTCACAAGTTGGAGTGGAAAAGGGACAGGGGAGCGTGGGCCGCGCACCTCTGCTGGCCCCAGATGGTGGTGACTTGGACGTGGAGCGGACGGGAGGGCTGCTGAACCTGAGGGGCTGGTCATGACGGGCACCTTTCATCGCCCCATGCCCAGCTGGTCACTGGAAGCTTGTCACGTCCAGAGCCCAGTTAACAGATCGTAGGACCATGAAGCGACTTGGCTGGCTCTGTTGGCAGGATCGCTGCAAATGGCCTGGGTAGGGCCAGTTACTTTTTCTGAGCACGTCAGCGAATCTCAATTATTGTCTCATAAATCTCTAATCAGGAGATTAGCAAGGCCTCCCCAGGGCACTGCAATATATTCCTTTATCCCAGTGAAAGCCTTTCCACGGCTGCCCCCGAGCCCCCGGCTGAGCCTCCGGGGTTCACTCCATCTCTGAGGTGTGCACCCGAGGAACTGGCCAGAGCCCCCGGAGGACTGTGGTCAGGAGAGAGGCAGCCCATGGAGGAGATGGTGAAGGGCACATGGAGCCTCTATGTCGCAACTTCCTGTGAATGTCTTTAATTATTTCAAAATACAAAGTGTAAAAAAGTCAAGTGCCTGAAGTGACCATGCCGAAAGTCTGCCCATCTCTGTGACCTCCTCTGTGCACGGAGATCCGGGCCACGTCCACTGTGTGTGGCTGCGTGCAAACTGACCCACGCAGATGTGCCTCTTGTGTTGTCAGCCCGCATCCTACATCTTGTTCCAGGTGACCCCTCCCTCCACAGAGGGTCACTGAAAGCAAAGGGCTCCGCTGTGTTCTCCATCTTCAGTGCCACAGCCGTAACCAGTGCTCCCACGTGCCCTCACTCGAGGTGATCACGTTGTTAGGCCCGTGTGGCGGATCGGGAAGCTGAGACTCGCAGAGCTGGGGTGACTCRCCTCCGATCGCACGGAGCAGCGACCCACTCACTCTCCTCTGAGGCAGAAGCTGGGGGATGCTGAAAGCAGCAGAGGAAGGCGATTTTCCTCTAGGACAGACTCGCCAAGGTAACCAGGATGCCCTCTTGCTCAGGAGCTGTGACACAGTGGCCCACACTCCGTCTCAGGGTCCTCTTCTGGCTTCCAGGCTCTGTCCCCAGCCACAGCTTCCTCCTGCCTTCCTCCACAGGAAATCAGCCCCGTGGGCAGACCGTCCACTGCTGCAGGGCCTGCCGCGCTCCTGGCTCCTGGCTCCTGGCTGAGGGTTCTCTTTATCAAGATGTGGGGAGGTTCCCTGTGTGAGCTACACCAGCTTCGCTCAACCTTTACWCCATCTGGTCAAAACTCTCAGTGCACAGCCCCTGTCTTGGAAAAAGACAGGGTCCGTGTACTGGCCCAATCTCCTGGTCACAGAGCATGGCCTGCTCCCCCCCACCACCACCATGATGCTTCTGTGCCACCTAGGATGCGCTGTCACCTACCCATCCATTTGTTGACTGGAAACGGAAGCAACCCAGCAACCRGCTCACGGGTGGGCACAGAAAATTCCTAGTCACGGAAATCAGATACATCAATCTTTTCACCATCCAAAATGTGTCGTCCACCTGCAGTTCAGCRGGAGGGGTCAGGGGTGCAGTGTCAGCCAAGGGCAGAGGAAGACTGCCAGGAGGCTCCTGCTAGAGTCTGGCAAAGGCCGTTTCCACCAGGAAGCTTGCCCTGGCCTCGGGACAGTATGTGTGTGTGTGTGGGCGGGGGGGGTTGACTTGAAGAGCCACCCCTATGCTGTTGTGCACCCCAAGTCCAAGAAGCCATGTGTCTGAGCTCTGGACAGCTGTGGCCATTTCTTTTGGGAGGTCCAAGGGGGTGAAACTGGCTCAGACCTGGGCTGGAAGCTGGAGCAGGTTCTGTTTGAGGGCTTAGGGCAGCAAGTGCCAAAAGCAATGTTTGTTAAGTGATAATTGATTGCCAGGCCGTGAGTGGAGCATCATTTTAGTTGGCACGCCTGCCTCAACCGAGAGGCTTGTTAAAGTGAAGGGGCCCCTCTAGCTCTTTTGCTGGCTCCTATAGAAGTTTGGGGAGAAAATGGGACTTCCTTTCTAAGGGGTTTGGACTGCAGATTTGGGGAAAGCTACCCTCCTTTGTCTACCAACTTCTCCAAAGGGCATGTAGGAAATCATCCTTTTAAAAATCTCCCTTGCACTTTATATTACCCCCATTTCTCCCAACATTTCTCTGTACGAACATCGTCACCATACAATGTCAAGGGCTGCCGTCGCGGCTCGGTGGTAGAGCGCTCCCCTAGCAACGTGCAAGGCTGTGGGTTCCATCCTCAGCACCACATAAAAATAAATAAAATTAAGATCGAAAAAAAATACCATGTCAATTTTAAAGTTTTACGATATTTTGTGCTTGTAGTTGAAAACTCCAACAGACTTGGCAAGTGTATACAACCAGAGTAACTGAGATGAAAAAAAAAAAAACAAAAAACTCAGTGACCATTTTTTCAAGCCTGTTCACAGAAGAGCAAATGGATGGCCAGAGAGTTGGGGTAATTTGCCCAAGGTCACACAGCTTCTAAGGGCAAGGCTGGGACCCAATCTCCTAATCACAGAGCATGGCCTGCCACCACTCCCCGCCCCAGGATGCCCAGCTTTTTGTTGACTGGAAACAGAAGCCATCCACAACCAGCTCCCTGGTGGGCACAGAGGACACAGCGAATGAATCAATGCTGTTTGAGAGGCTGAGGGTTATGCCGCCGCCCGTGATGTGCCTGCAGGGGGCGCTGCGACGGTCTTTCTGTTTCCACAGCATGTGATCCAAGTGCGCGTGAKGGCCTTGGACAGTCATGGGGGTGGGGGCGCTGGGAACAGAGGCTCACTCAATCATTCCAATATTTTCAAGGCGTTTCCACTGTGAACGGTTGCAGTATTTTTCCCTTACAATATTGCRAGGGTTGAATTATGCAGCGATAATGTATGTCAAGTTCCTTGTTTAGTGTTTGGCATGTGAGAGGGACTCAGTGAAAGAACAGCTACTTTTTATTGTGGCATATTTTATACTTAAAAGTTACAGAGTTAGGACAAATCTTTACTATGATTCCCCAACATTAGGGTTTTACTTTATTTGCTTTCTCTTTTTCTCTGGGTAGATCTAGATTTCTCTGTGTGTGTGTGTGTGTCTGTGTTTAATTACTTTAATTTCAGACAGTATGCCCCTTTATCTCTAAAATACTTGAGCATTTATTTCCTAAAAATATGAGATGACTTATTAAGGCAATAACTTATTTTTTTAAAATATGTTTTTGAGTTATAGATGGACACAATACCTTTGTTTTATTTATTTATGTTTATGTGGTGCCAAGGATGGAACCCAGGGCCTCATACATGCTAGGCAAGCGCTCTACCACTGAGCTACAGCCCCGGGCCCAAGGCAATGACTTATTTAAGGAGAGCAGTGGAAGTACCCTAAATACTTGCTCGGCTYATGGTCCACTGAGCTTCTAGTGAGCACATAGCATATGCCAGGCACAATATTAGAAGCTTTGAAAAGATATCTCATTGAATTCTCTCGGTAGCATTGCRAGGCAGATTGATAAGCTCTGTTTTGCAAATCACAGTTATTTAGACTCATGAAAAGTCAGTACATTGCCAAAAGGACCTTAGTAAGTGGTGGAACTGAGATTTGAACCCAGTACTTGGGACTCTGATCCCTGTATTCTTTCCAAAGCAGCACTGTAGTGCCAACACTGTAGTGCTTTGGTGGTTGTTTTCTGTGGTGCTGGATATGGAACCCGGGGCCTTGTGCGTGCTAGGCAATCGCTCTACCATTGACCGACACCTCCTGCCCCCAAATGGGGCTCTCTGTTGCCTAATAAATTGACCATCTTATTCTGTTATAAAAATGAGAGGCTATTAAAAAAAAAAAACAACACAGGAAGCGACTCCGGGGGCCCCTGGCCAGCGTGTGCCATCTCCGTGGCCTGAGTGGCAGGGCATTTGCTTCCACAGTTCTCATTCTGATGAGCTCTCCAGAGCTTCATTTCAAAATGACTGTAATCCTTCTGCATGGTTTTGTCGCTGGCTGGAAACCAACCTTTTTATCTTCGGATACCTTTAGTCTAGTTTACTTTTGGAAGGAAGGTTTGTTTTCCCAGGGAGTGCGGACGGTATCGTTAACATTTGGGATGGTTAGACTTCGCCTTAGGACCTGAAGATGTCATCCTTTGGCAATGCCTCTCGCTCTGCCTAGAGATTCCAGCAACGAGAGCTGTCGGTCTGTCCTCTCGTTTCCCAGCTACATGTAGCTGATGGGCCTGGCCCTATCCTCTTTCACTCAAACTTAGAGAACAACCAAAGCAACATAATTCATTGGGACGATATGTCCTGGAGGGAGTTTGAGTCCTGAGGAATCTGGCAGGACCCTTTGGAACTAGTATCAATTCTGCTTGAATAAAATTCTATGCTTGCATCAGCAGTCCTGACTATCAGTTGCATGAAAATTCAACGGGAAAAGARTCTTGATAATTCACAGGCCGTGCACTTTAATGAAGAATTCCAAGTAGCTTGGGAACCTCCCATGGCTGTGGATTGGCCAAGTTGAGAAAGAACATCTGGGGATTTTGTGCTCCTCTGCCTGTGGAGATTGGAAGCGGGGAAACTGTTCTGTGTAGAGGCTCCGGCCTGGGGATCTGGGGTCCGACTCACCTGGATTTGGACCCCAGCTCCACCACCTAGCTGTGTGACCCTGAGCAAGTCAATCCCAAATTCATTATCCAGAACAACAGCGAATTCTGCTTTCAAGTCCGTTTGTGTGAGACTCAAGTCACAGAAGCCAGGACCCAAATCCTTAGGAAGTTCCCCCACAGTGGTAGGTAATTATAGCAATGAACTTGAATGAGGCAGAAATGGATCCCCCTCTGTTCTTCTCCCTTCTCTTCTCGGCTCCCTTTCTCTTCTTCTTCCCACACCCTCCTCACTCCCTCAGTCCTGCTCTGGATGAGAGCTAGGAGAGAACATTSCGTTCTTGGCACTCTAACGACAAGGAATCCATGGCATTAAGGACCCTGAAGAGAAGCCCTGATTTCGTAAAGGCTTAATAAAAGTCAACCATCAAACACAAGCTGCTCCCCCCTGAATCGTTACACTCCGCTGTGGCCCAACATCTGGGCAGAGGGGCCCGCCCGAGTTCACTCGGGCCTCCCGGAGACCCAGCTCCCCGGGCCGCGGCTCCGTCTCTGTTTATGCCTCATTAGGAACACCAGCCATCATTCCAGRACTTTTTGCTGGAGCTGCCACTAACTACGTGGGTGAATTATTTCCCAACTTTGAACTTCGGTTTTTAAAATGGAACAAGTCAGATGAGACTTGCTGTAATGGATGGAAGTCGTTGAAAACACCACTCAGAGTTAATGCTTCATCCTAGATCCTGTGTCCCTTCCTGGGTATCCGTCTCGGCTGACGGCAGCTCCTCAGTGCCCAGGCAGTGTCTCACTTCGTAGGAAAGAGCTCAGGACTTGGAAGGAGAGGCCCCGGCTCTGCTACCTGCTAGCCCACAGGGCCTTCYGTGGGTCCCCATTCCTCAGCCCGCCAAGTTGCTCCCGTGTAAGTGGGGCGGAGGCACCTGAAGTATTGGGTGGTTCCACGGATGCTTGTCAGTAAAGCATGCAGCCTTTAGGAGGTTCAAAACAGATATTCAGTATTTCATTATTACTATGTCAGTGTCCAGGGGGCCCCACTGTGCAGTATCCAACAAGATTTTGTTGAAACCCATCTTCTAATATTTTTGCTTTTATTGATTTAAAAATCACTGAAGAAGAGGAAGGCAGGTATAGAATCAAATGTGATTTCATTTCCAGTGCAAGAATGTTACCCATGGACCATGTTTAGGAACTAGGAAAGGCTTTGAGAGATGCAATCTRAACAATATTGACGTTTATACTCTCAAGGTGCCTTAGGGTTTATGTGGCAAGAATAAACATCCAAATTAAACCTGGGATGAGATACTCTTGCTCTCAGGGGGATTCATTCTGTTAGGTTCCTTTGCATGGTTCTTCTTCAATTTGCATAGATAATTTTAAAAAATTGTTTTCTAATTATAGAAACAATAGTAGAGAAGATAGGAAAGGTGGAAAACAAGTTGAATTAATCAGGGATCTCTGGAGAAACAGAACCAATAGGTGTTCGTGCGTGTGTGTGTGTGTGTGTGTGTGTGTGTGTGTGTACATGCACGCGCATATGTGAAGAGATTTAGCATAAGGTTTTTGCAATTAATGAAAGCCAAGCAGTCCCAACATCTGCATTCAGTAAGCTGGAGACCCAGAAGTGACAATGATATATTTTCAGTCTGAGATCAAAGGCAGGAGAAGACCAATATCCCAGCTCAAAGATGATCAGGTAGAGAAATTCCCTCTTCCGCAGGATGTTTTTCCTAGCATACCTTCAACTGATTGGACGAGGCCCATCCACAGTGGGGTGGTCAGTTTTCTTTACTACATCCACCGTCTATCTGTTCATATGTCAATCTTACCCTCAAACACCCTCACAGACGTACCCAGAATAATGTTCCAGCAAACCTGCTGGCATCCCAGGGCCTACTCAGATTGAACACACGTTCACCATCACACTAGGGCTACTATTTGGGACATGCAGGAAAGAAGACAGAACTAACTCTGCCTCCAAAGATAATTTTGGCACATTTCTTCCAAGTCTTCTCTCTTTTGATGTAGCACATACTTTTTTTTAAAAATCAGTCATTCTATTTTATTGGAGATTCCACATTGTCCCCTTTCTTATTGGGAAAGTCGAGAAGACTTTCACTGTGCCTCTGATTTGCCACTTACAGAAGGATGACTAGAGAGCCACCGTTATTACAACCGAGTAAAATTGGACATGGCCCACAGCCCTGTCTCTCTCTKCGGAGAGAGAGGAGCATTTTTCTTCCATTTTGTAACTGGGACAACTGAGTTCAGGGGGTGGGGGGTGTGAGGAGGGTGGTCCTAGCAATTATCAGGAGACACCAGGAAATCCCAAAGGCGGGAGGTGCTTAGTGCCCTGATTTGATTATCTCACATTGCACACATGTATCAAATTGGCATAATGCACCTTACAAAAATGTGCAAATCCTGTGTCTCGATATAAAAACAGAGTAGGTGTGGAAACACGCCCAGAAACCCAGCTGCCGTCTCCCCGAGTCCAGCCCTGAAGGTGTTAACAGCCCACCTCYTCTTGCCTGTGTCCCATGGCCAGAGGTGTGAGTGACTAGGGAAACCCCCAATAAATTAGGGGTGGCAGCCTCTCTGGGGAGGGAGAGGTGGCTCGTTCAGCGTTTTAAGCCTTTGAGCTGGTGTCCTTTGTCGCTGATGGATTTATTGRCTATTTTTGCAGGGGGCAGGGGGATTTGAAATCTAACATAAGCGCTTCCTGAGATGTCAGTACTGCAATGTTCGTGGTCTGAACAAGGATGTAATTCATATCTGCAGGTGCTTACTCTAGTATCAAATACTGCAATAGCATCATGCCTGTGGAATCCCGGGTCCCGGGGGTCCCATCTGTATCCTGATATGCCCACGTCCTCTCCCAGGCGTGTTTGCCTTTCTGAAGGAGCTCTCATTTCCTTCAATAGGATATGTTTTATTTCATCCCTTTTCTTGCATTTACTCATATTAATGTCACCGCATTCGCTGGTAATAGCTGGGCCTGGAAGTAACCCACACGGCCACGTAGGCTGGCCTGAAACGCCACGCCTGGGACGCATTACTAAGAAAGAATGCAAGGGACACGGAGAAAGGAACACYGCCTTCTAGGAGCTCTACCTACA